CCTAGAAAGCATGGTCTATGAAGAAAGGTTGAAAACTCTGGGTGGTCAGTCAGGGGGAGAGAGGTATAGGAGCCTTCAAATATGTGAAAGGCTGCTGCAAAGAGGCAAGGAATAAAGTGTTCTCCATTTCCAATGGAAATAAGACAGAAGTAATGAGCTTAAATGACAGGCAGGAAGATTTAGAACAAACATTAGAAAAAAATTGCTAACTGTAAATCCTGGAATATACCACCTGGCAATGCTGAGGATTCTCCATCATTAGAGATTTTTACAAACAGGGCAGACAAAAATCTGACAGAGAGAATTTAAATATAGTTGATCTTATTTTGGATTAGGGGACTGGATCAGATGGCCTCATAAGATTCCTTTTGGCTGAATTTTCTGATAGTTAACTGTTTAGTGAAAGCAAGCCTTGTGGAAGGAGTTTTTTCATAGGTCCTAATCCCGTTTCATTCTTGAAAACAGTGCAGAGCACCTAATGAAAATCTAGGTGAAAGACGTGCTTGTCTTTTACCACTAAACTTAGTATTTCTATCATTTTAAATGTAGAGTGGAAAAAAAATAATTAAAAAATTGCTGTTTGTTGTGCGTCTGTTGTAAATTTACTTAACTATGGCACTTTTGATGTGGTCTTGGAGAAGTCCATAGGCTGAGACTACAGGCACCCTAAAGTGTATTCATTGAGTGTTATGTTTGAGTGGTTTGATCTCAGAAGCTTCAGCATAGTTCTTTTGGATATAAAGTTTTACTGCAGATATTTAATATGAGACACATGAGAGTTAAATTTTTGTGATCTATTCAGTAATAAATTCTTAGAACCCCATGGGTTTTAAAATAGTATTTCAGTACTCAAATGGTTCCATCCAAATACATGAGATGTTATCAAGTCCCGTGGATTCCGGTAGGATTTGTAAGTTATCTTGGAAGCCTGGTAGAGGATCTGGTCCAAAGATTACCACTCAAAAGGCATGCATTATTGTTACCACGGTATGAATGTCTTATGTTTGCAGATACCACTAACAAACTTAAGTGATGTAGATATTTCAGTGACTGTACTGTTATGTTAAAAGATGCTCTTATGTGTGAAACATCTCTTCTAGTAACTGTTAGTCTTTTTTAAGATGAAGCTCTTCAGCATAGGTACTGGTTGCTACAGTGTATTTCTGCTGTGCCACAGAATCATAAAATCCCCATTGTAACAGACATCTGGAGAACATCTAGTCCATCTCCCACTTGAAGCAGGACTAGATCTGCCAAAACTAGATCTGCTGACTCTCGCCAAAACGAGATCAGCTCAACCACTGCTCTGTTTAGCCAAGTCTTGAAAACCTTGGTGGACTGAGATTCCACAGTCTGTCTGTTCCAGGGCTGCTCCACCTTCCTAGTGAAAAAGTATTTCCTTTCATCCACTATGAATCTCCAAAGCGGCAACTCTAGGCCATTTCCTCTTGTTTTACAATGCAGTGCTATTGAGAAAAGTTTGATTCCATCACCTTTTAACTCCTCTTCAAGTAGTTGCAGGTTGCTGTTGAATTGTTCCTTAGCTGCTTCTTCACAAGAGTAAACAAGTCCAATTCCCTCAACCTCTCCTTGTGCGTCAGTGCCATAGGCCCCTAGAAAATTTGAAAGCCATCTGCATGTCCCTCTCCAGTTTCTGAATATCCTCTTAAACTGAGGGGCCTCAAAACTGCACATTGTGTTCCAAGTATATAGTTTCAGACAACAAATACAGTTTCAATTTTGCTTATTGTTGCAATACGGGTAATAATTAAAAGCATTAGTCTAAAATCAACACCAAGTTTCTGAACAAAGCTATTCTGTTATATGCAAACCAAAGGGGGGAAAAAAAAAAACCCAAACTGCGAAGAAGTGAAAGAGCCTTCTGAAAGTGTTTGATAAAAAAGGCTCTTTATTTGGCTTGCCTGAAATCTTGAAAGATGTTACATATGGCCACACACATGACTTTTGTGCAGATTGACTTAGTGGCCTGCCGAAGTTGACCTAAATTAAAATAAAAAAATTGACAAGAGAGCTAATTTTGAACTCAAAGATGTAGATTGATGTCTTAAAGTAATTGGCAGCTATAGGCTTGTTGTTGGAGTCTGTAAGAAACTCAGTAAAGCAAAATATTCTTATGAAGAAATTATACACCATGAGTTGACACAGCTCTGTCCATTGAAAGATCCTTCTTCCCTTTTCTTTAGAGTGTGTCCACAAAAGAAATTGTGTGCTACAGCTCCAAGAGGGGCCGAGTAGAACCTGCTGCCTGCTGTGTTTCTGGAGCACAGAATGGGTCTAGCTAATATGAGTCCCCATTGGTCTACCTCCCTCCTTCTCTCTGAGTGCTTTACAGTCCCGTGTGTAATGTATACTCCTGGCATAGCAGTCCCTTCCTGGACGCTGAAAGTCTCAGACCCAGAAGCTCACACGAGCCCAAGTCCTTACTCCTCCTCTAACATTTTTAGCTCTGGTAATTAATTCTCTGGCAATTCCCCATATGCTCTGGTCTCTACACAAATGCTAACATCGTCTCCAGCTTTCTTCAGCTAGAAATGAGGCTCTTAGGTCCCCTTTATTCTGGCTATTTCTAATTAAAATAGATGAAAGGAGACAAGTGGTGGCCCTTTTCCTATCTGAAAGAAAACCTTGTATAAACATCATCAAGGGGGGAATGCTCTATAACAGGCTGCCAGGGAAGTGGTTGAGTCACCATCCCTGGAAGTATTTAAAAAACGGGTAGATGAGGCGCTTAGGGACATGGTTTAGTGGGCATGGTGGTGTTGGGTTGACGGTTGGACTCGATGATCTTAGAGGTCTCTTCCAACCTTAATGATTCTATGATTCTATGATAAATGTTTATAGAAGGCATTCTAAAGACATAAATTAGGGCATACGGTTTTTGGGTGTATTATATCAAGCTGTGACCACCAAGGAAAAAGGCCATAGCCATAATTTTACTAAGTATAATACCTTGTATTAATAATTATAAAGTTTCATATAGGCTTAAGTGTCTTGTAGGTTGTTGCCTGGGCTTAGAAGTACGTATCTGCTTAATGATAATTATAGCATCACAATCTGTAAGTCAGAACTGCAGGTTTCAGCAAAATAATCTGGTGTTTGGGACAATACAGATTTGGAGCCATCAGATGGCATGATATTTGCACCTTTTTGCACATTTTTGAGTTACATCTCTTATAGATCAGGCACTGTTTACAGCTACATAAAATATCACTGAACACAGTTATGAAATGGTAAACAATTGTGCACAGAAGATCATAAGGCAGAATATCATCTTAAGAAAAAAAAGTTTGTGTATGTTTGGTGGGAAAAAGAGTGGGAAATAAGCAAATGATGGAAAGCAAGAGAGGAGAGTTTTATGTGTTTTCTACAAGCAGGCACTAAGGAAGAAAGCTCTTTTTGCAGCAAACAGCTTTCTTTAAATGAGGAAAAACCACAGTGTTTAAAAATGCTTGTTATTATCTGCGTGCACATTCTGGGTAGCAGATCATGGAATGATATTTGCTTAATATGCCCAGAGAAGGTTCTGAAAAATAAGTCATGTAACAGGCAGGATCCAGGGCTGTGACCTCCGAGCCTAGTTAATTCCGCCAGCCCTGTTGAAAACATTTCCATATGGTTGCACTGACAACTTAGCATAAAACAGAATTCTTTGATCTTTGTTAATTTATGCAATCAAGTGAGTAAAGGGTGCTGCACTTTTGAAAATATTTAAGAAATATAGTTAATACTGAAAATTGGACTTAAAGATAAACTAATAACCTGGCTGGCATTACTAGGTACTGCCATGAGAGACTGGGTTCAGAGGCAAGTTTTAGGACACATCACAGTTTTTTCTGAACTTTTCTCATTCTCTTTCCCATGAACTAGGATTTAGAATTTGGCCATTGACCAGTGTGCAGGAGAGTAGTCATTGAAAGTCCTTGTCATTGACAGGGATTGATGGCTAATCATGGATGGTTCAGTGCTGGAAAGTTGCATGACTTGTAAAGCCATTTAAAAAATACACTCTTTTTTCCATTTAGCAATTGACATTTACTAGAACAGCAGTTTCTTCAGTGGCCTGAGTCTATCAGGCAATAACTAAACTGAGGAAGTGGATATATGAAACTATCTCCTGGTGAACCAGTCTAACCTACTTTCATATTCCTGTTAATTTGCTGCAGAAGGACAGGTTTGACATCGTCACCCGTGATTTGTTCTGTTTCACAAAGCAGACAGCTTGGACTTAGAGATACTGTCAAGTATTATTAACAAGACCCAGACTGCTCTTTACTGTTCAATTGTAATGGATTTCCAAAGATAGGAATGTAAGAAAATATTTTTTCTTTTACCTCTTCTACATATGAAGATCTTTTTTTTTTATTTTTTTTTTTTTAATTTTTGGAGGCAAGAACTGTAGAAACAGTATGTCAATGTATGCACTACAGTAAATGCCACCAGAAGGCTCTTGCTGCTCCCGATTCCAATTCTGGTTCTTGTCAGAAAATACAACATAAGTGACAGTAATATGTTAGCTGGCCTGACTTCTTGGGGTGATTTCATTCCCCTAACTATGATTCTGCCACACGTGGCTTTGACATAACATTCAGCTGTATATCTTTGGAGTAAACAGGAGGCATTAGGGCCTCTTGACCTTCATAATTGTAATGCTGAAACCTACTGGAAGGTCTATGAGTGTCTTTCATTTGTTTCAGAGGACCATCCAAAACAGAAATTGTAATAGTGAATGAGGAAATGCAGCATCAAAAATGGCTGAATCTGCACTCAGACTGGAAGAATAAAAATGCATCCACTTTACACGCACTTCTAGTGAACGGGTAAGTAACAGGTAAATGAGATTTATTTCACTGCTGTGTGTAGTCACTTATCAATGGAGGATGGCAAACTCCCTTTGGTAAGCTCTTTTTTTTCCAAGGTATCTGTGTATAAATCCCAGCACATACTCGTGTGAGTTGTTAAGATACAGTCTATAACAATTTTAGTGTCTACTACAACTGTAGTCTCTTTTGAGTCCACCTTGTGAATCCTCAGGGGCCCATTCTGCTAGACTAACAGTATTTGAGTGACATAGAGGTGATGCCCTTGAAGCACCTGGAACAGACAGCTTCATTAAATCCCTGCTGACCAAGAAAATCCAGTAAGTACTATATAGCAAAACCTGCAGCAACATCTTACCATCCTCTGCAGCCTGTATAGTTTGGATTCATACATTTGGAGCGACCACAGCTGCTTCAGCAGAAGCTATATCCACTTACAGTAGGTTTCCTTAGCAGCTCCTCTGGCTTCAGATGGTGGTATATTCCTTTTAATTAACTCAACTAAACAGGTAGTTGGTATCTCATGGTTGAGACATTCAAAGTGTGACTTTGAGACTGAAGAGCCAATAAACTTAAACATCCAGGACAAAACTGAGAGAGCCACCTAATCCACATCTGCAACTGCATTCTTCAAAAAGCAGATTCATTGTTTCCCTGTTCTCCTTCAAATGCCTAGATTTCAGAACATCCTTCTTCCATAGAAAATGCTTCTGTTTCACAAGGGGAGACTGTCTTGGCTAAATGCAGAGGTACAACATGTGTGAAGACACAAATCTGAGGAATACACCTACTTTTCTTTTGCTTGGCTCCATTATTTTCTGTAGTGAAACTTTTCTGTAATGGCAGAATACTAAAAAGATTGTGTCTGCAAGTGCCTACTTTTGCTTTCCTACATCTCAGCTTTGTACTAGTTCTGTTTTACAGTAGTATTTTCCCTGTTCATTTAAGTTCATCTTTATTTCTTCATCTAGAAGAAGGGCCATTACAGGATGCTGCCTGATACTTGAAATTTTTCTTTTTAACTCTTTTCTTTTCCTTTCTCACTGTCTCCTTCCACTAGCCTAATGGTATCTAAATGCTTTTCTCCAGAGTAATACAAGGATAAACACCTTGGGTTGCAACCAGATGCAAGGGCAGGTCCACAATCATATTCTGTTCAGTCACTGAAGTGCAAAGCAGAAATTTCAAGGTACTTCCCGTTGTTTGAAAGTGGTCTGCTAGGAAGTATGTGTGAAGGGATGGATTTGAAGCCTCTGAGTTACAAGATCTAGCAGCAAAAGATCTAGTTTCGCCCGAAGTACAAGTTAAAGGAGAGAAAACATCAGTAATGAGGATTATTGCTAAAGCTGTTACAGAGACGAAAGTAATACGTAGGAACAGATGTTCCATCTCCCCAAATCCAGAAAATGGGTAACAAGAAGAAGTGAGAAGAGGCCTTGCATGAAGAGTGAGGCTGTTTTTGTTTTGGCAGTGTCAGGCATCCTGTCTAGATGGCTCTCACTGGCTGTGCATGTGCTGCAGATCAGATGCACCCCAAACTGATCTCCAGGTCATCCCACTGGAAGACCTGCAGGCCTGCCTCACTTCTCATGTGCCAGGCTTGCTTTCTAGTATAAAGCAAATTGTACAGGGAACAATATGTGTTTAGTCTCTTCCCAACATGAAGCAAGACAAGCCCAGGAGCTGGGAAGTGCTCCTGAGCCCTGCAGTCTAGGTGTATTCATCTGGATCAGTTTCAGCATGTAAAATGTCTGTTCTGTGGAGTATGTTGTATGTTTAAAGGAGCTGTCAGGCTCCTGGACTATTGGTAATTTGAGCAAGAACCAACAAATGCACCACTAGTTTCATAAAGTTCTGATAAGAGGGAATGGCACAGTGCAGGCTATGCACACATGAAAAGCTTACAGTTTTCTCTTTTAGAGCTGGCTATTTGATAAGTCAAAGAAACGAGTGTGAAACGAGTGTGGCTCGTCTCAGTTATATCCTGTATATTTTTTTTATGGAGTGCAAATGCCCCTCAAAATTGTGCACAAAATTTTCTTTCCTGAAACTGGTCATCTATCTCTAGAAACAGAATTTTATGGTCTGTGTTTTCAGGAACAGAAAGTAGACTGACTTGCACAGTATATGAATGGGGCATATGCAATGTAAGGGACAGAGGTTTGGTCAAATCACAGATTAAAGCTAATCTGGTGAGCTTGCTGGCACTCTGTTTTTGTGCCCCATTAGTATCTATGACTTAAAACCAAATGCAGCCTCTTTTTAGGTGGTTGCAATTTTAAAGATACTGCCTACCTACTGAGATGATAGCCTGCAAAGAATTAGCTGGGGAACAGCTAATCTGTGTATCCAGTCTAATTTAGCTCTGCATCTGCCTCAGAAAAGCATGTACATGGTAGGAATGAAAAAGTGGTGGAAATAAAAAGGCAGTCAGCTAGTTGAGCAGCAATGCTCACTGTTTTAACAAGGATCTCCCTTCCTTTGACAAAGAATCACTTCTTTCCTCTCTCATCTGAAAAATTTCAACAGAAATGATAATTTTTTTGTTGTTTTAATACTTACTTTTGCAATCTTCCTGGATTTTTTCAAAACACCCAAACTTTTAGGGCATGAAAGATCATCTGTTATCAAAGGTATTTCAAAGAAAATTCTATCCTTCAGCTGTAAGGAAGAGGAGAATAGCAATCTCTGTTCTTTCAGGTGCCATAAATTAAGACTTGACAGACTGTACGTCCCAGCTGACCTCAGAGCTGGATCAGTGCCCAGAGACCGAGGTAGTGTGCAAAATATGTAGCACCCACTCATGAAATGTATTGTAAAGCTGAACTAATATTTTGAATTATCTCCAGGCAGACGCTGGAAACCATGGATGATCTGGCATAAGAAGCTCCTTGTGTTTCTTTTTACAGTTTGGGGGAATTTTTAACAGCTGGTTCACAAAGAGTACAATACCTGTGCTGATTTGCAAATTACCAAAAATTACATCAATTAATTGAGATTTCCACCATGTTCTTGTTTCAATATTTAGACAGATGTGTCGAAGCAGAAGCAAAGTGGCTCTCTTTTGCACTAAAGAAGGTAAGAGAGAAGTGCATATAAAACAAAGATGTTTTTCAAGATGTGTTAAATTAACAAATGCAGATGTTTAGTGCGGATTCATTCTGAAATTTGACTAGATTTCTGCAACATCCAGTTTTGCATTTTTTCCCCCCCCTACTCTATTCAGTTTCATCAGCTTTTCTTATTTTTTGACTACTGCTGTGTATTGCAGTAGCCCGGTCCTGCTCCCACTAAATTAATTTTGTCAGCAGTCAGGTTCCAAAAATTAATTTGATAAAACTTCCT